CACACACACACATACATATATATGTATATATAATATATATAATACACACACGCACACACATACACACACGCACACATACATGCACACACATACGCAGACAAACACACACACACACATACACACATGCACACGCAAAAGCGCAACAAACCAAAACCAAACCACCCCCCACCCACCCACAGACAAGAAATAGAGTGGTAAGAGAGTTTTTTTTACTTGAAAGTCTAAACAATTACCCTTTAAAAAATCAAACCGAGAGAAATAAGCAAAATAATTATTGGACTACTTTTTTATCCAAGTCTCTAAACACTTTGTTCAAACGGAATGATCTTAGTCACTTCTTTAATTTAGGGAAAATCAATCTCCAAAATGTAGTATTAAAAACCTATGTGTATATTAAATTAAAACTCGGAGGAAAAGCCCTCTCCGACACCCACTCACAGGCATAGAGAGTCATCATTACAAAGGAAATCAAACAAGGTAAGTTCCCATGGCAACAAGAAATACACTAATAAAGATATATAATATCAGACACGGAAAAAGAAAAATATCACTTGTGTGTGTGTGTGTGTATGTGTGTGTATGTGTGTGTGTGTGTGTGTGTGTGTGTGTGTGTGTGTGTGTGTGTGTGTGTGTGTGTGTGTGTGTGTGTGTGTGTGTGATGAAACGCCTAATCGGCAACAGAAAAGACAGACCATTGTTCAGGGCCACTTAGCTGTTGAGAAGACTGACTTGGGCAAGTTATCAGCAAGGACTTGAGAGAGAGAGAGAGAGAGAGAGAGAGAGAGAGAGAGAGAGAGAGAGAGAGAGAGAGAGAGAGAGAGAGAGAGAGGGGGGGGGGAGGTGGAGAGGGGGAGAGAGGGGGAGAGAGGGAGGGTGCTATAGACATAGACAGACATATATGTATATATTAAAAAATATATATATCTATATATATCTATATATATATAGAGAAAAAAACAGGTTAATGAGGCGGAGAAGAGAGAGACGAGTGAGTTATGTGAGAAGAAGAGAGTAGAGGGGGGGGAGCGAGAAAAAAAAGAAAACGAGAAAGGCAAATCCCTCAGCCTTTCTTAAAGCCAACAGCTGCTTCATTTAGAAAAGACAAACAAACAAGCAAGGAAAGCAAACAACCTCCCCCCCCCACCCCCCCCCCACACACACACCCTGAAGAAAAAGCAACCACTTTTGCGTCGGTTATTACTTTTAAACCAAAACTTTGTCTTTGAAAACAAGCCTCAGACACGCCGGTCGTGTTTTGAAATCACCCTCTCAGCTGTATACAAGCCAAGAAGCAGACCTGTTAGATAATTCAGACATGTTGAAAAACGATGAATTCGCAACTTAGTCTTTGTTTCCTGGGGATATTAAATGATAACGAGGAAGGCCCTTACCTTTTCTGAAAAGTACAGGATACTTGAGCTCTCTATTTGGAAATTTTTTGACCCTCTACGTGCATCCGGGATCTTCATTCCCGGTGGGTGGCCACTTGAGCGGGTGGTTAGCGGGTACTCTGGTGTGGTGTGTTGCTTCCTTCCTATCAATATGAAGCATCTAACATCTCGACCTGTCCTTCCTTTTTGTGTTTGCTATTCTCTTGTAACGCCTCTAAACTTCGGCACTTATATGACCTTGTTGTGTTTCAAGTGCCGTAAAATTCTTGCTAAAACCAAAACTAACTACAGGGGTCACATTACCTGGGTAGCCGAGATGAAGAGCGAGAAAAACGTTTTTAACTTAAAATTCTAAGAATGGGGAGGGGTGGGTTGCGGGAGGGTGGGAGGTTCTAGTAGTCCCATGCATATTTCATTTAGCTTATGTTCATATATAGCCACAGAATTCTACACTTATAGAACGGGAACTGTACCACGTGACCTGTGAGGAATTGAAGACCGAAAACAATGGCGTCTTGAGGGCACGATTTATCGTTTTCGAAAGTAACCCTATAGCTTTTAAAGCAATAGCGGCTTTTACAAACGAGTGAAAAGTGGGACATTTACTGTCCAGTTTGTAATTTTGAGTAATAGAATTCACTGTGCAACTAGAGATTGGAATTAAGGTTTTAAATTGTTGTGTTTTTGGGTGCAACAACAGAAACAGCAGACATAGAGAGTTTATAAATATAAGATCTACAGAACTGTGAAAAAAAGTCGTAACACAGATGGGATTGTTCACAGCACTTCTAGCTTCCCACACACATTTTGCATACGCATATGACCTACGTACTTTTTTAGTAGCAAAACTTGTTACAAGAAATTTGTTTTACACTGAACACATTTTTCACTAGATCTAATTAATGTTCTCAAAGCATGCGTTCAATAATTAACTTTATGTCGCCAGCAGAAGTAGAAAAAAGGACGGACTTGCTTTTAAAAGAGATTTAGCTCCAGCTATAAACTTTTTAAAAATCTGTAGAAACCATTGAGTGGGATTTTTTGTTGTTGATATATTGGGCTTGTATTTATTAAAGAATTTTCTTCAAAAAAATTTCTACAATAATATAGAACTTATACTTATAGATGTGTGCAAATATTTGAAAAAAATACTCATCGGTTAAGACGAATTGATATAGATCTAAGTCATTATGTTAAAGTAGGAGAATCTAGACCTAGGTGTTTGATAGTTCAGTAGCCTAGATATTTGATAATAAGTTGCGCATCATATTTTTGACCGCATGCTACAGTAGTAGAGAT